AAAAATACTTATCTGATAACCCTGAAATTGTTACAGGTGGATTCAGAGCCCCTGATTACCCCGGAGACCAATTCTCATCAAATTCCGAGAGATGAGGGTGTCAAATTGGAAAAAAGTGGTACGATCTATCGTGGAATGCCCCAACAATCAATACACCCATGCCTGATAAAAAACGTCATTTAACTGCAGGAGTACCTATACTCGTACATGCATACTCGAGGGCAGCGCTTTTCGAGGATCACTGCGGCCCGAAGGTTTGGACTTTGAATTGTGAAAAACGCCCGCCCGCCGCAAAACGGCGGGCGGGCGCAAAACGCGCAAAACGCACGCCCGAAAAAAACGTCGCAAAAAACAGGGGCGTCGCCACGGATTTTTGAGTGGGTGGGGGGGGGGCGGGGGTCGGGTTACCGGCCTTCGTCTTGATGGGTAGGGGTTAGCCACACTTCCGTTTTTTTCGTGTGTTAAGAAAGACATCGGCGCGCAGCGCCACGAAAGCAGCGGCATATCTTAATGTACATCACTTTTGCATCGTGCATAGAAATCAAGCACAGGTCACCTGAGGTCAGGTCACAATGTCATGTCAAGGTCAGTTTTAATGCCTCTAAAAACTGCAATCTTGTCATTCCTACATATTATCTCCTATAAGTCTGAAATTAATTTGGTGTAATAAATGGGATTATAAGTGCCAACAGTTCATGAATCTGGGATTTTACATCTGAGAAGTGAAGTCTGGTCAAATATGTGACTTTACCAATCATGATAAGATATGGGAAAAAACACGAATGCCCTCTGCTTTGAACGAATATGCTAAAAACGCTAGATACTTTTGTAGCCATGGCACCTCTGCTCATTTTAGAGATAAGGTGCAACTAATGACCAGATGGTGACTCGAATGGTCAATTGGTCAGTCATTAGGTCATCAAAGGTCTCTAACACATTTTCGACAACAACTTTCGATGGAGACGCTGTAGAGCGATGACAGCAACTGGAGTGTGTTCAGCTCAGCAGCACAGATCGATCCATATGCAGCAGGTTCTTTTCCGGTCAGGACATGACCTTTACCTGATGTCAAGTTTTCTAGTCAAATTTCAAGTTCAAATTGTAAGCCATGCGACGTGTTTCGACGAAACAAACACGATGGTGATAACATGAATATCATACACATTCACTGAATCATAGGTATAATACAGAACAAATGTTTCGGCAAAATCCGTCCGTTTAACTGTTTGGCCTCTGTGGTACACAAGCCATAGACCCGAAGTCATATCTGAGGCGAAGTTGGCGAAAGAGCTTTAAAAAAGCTATCGAATACGCTTTCTGTGTCGCTTATTCGTGTTTTACGGGTCGCTAAGGTAAAACGTTTACCAACGTAACGCTAAGGTATGCTTTCGGCCCCTGATCGAGGTAGAGCTTCTCGGAAAAGCGAGGATGCTGCCCGTGATGAGAGAACGCCGATGATGCCCAATTTCAAGGTCTTGGCCCGTGGCCGGGTCATTTTAGGTCAACACCCAAAAGATTAAGAAGGGAAAATCTGGCCTGCTAGAACTTTGTGAGCCGGAGCTGTTATCGGGGTCCCGAGTACGATTTCGATGTTAGTTTTGAACAAAGATGATGACTCCATGCATTTGGGGTAGATCGGGTCGGGTTTGTTTGTTTGTTTGTCGTTTATTCATGATTATGGGCATGAACAATGGACAGAAATAAAGTTGAATTGGTGCAAAAGCATAAACTTATTACGAGGCACCTCTTCAACAAAACAAAACGAAACAGAGCATCACCGAAATAAACACACACACACACACCAGGTCCCACGCGCAACCCCGCCGCCCCGACAGACCTTCCGACCACTATAGCTGGACCACACGCGCTCCGCCAGCCTGCGGCCTCCCCCTAACTTTGTACGGCGGGTCAGGTCAGGTCGACCAGCAGGCTTCCTGTCGGCCATCTATGAGTGGGTGACAACTGACAACCACCAACGATAGCTTCGTAATATGTTACATAACCACCATTTATCAAAACTAGGTACTTCTTATAATGTTCAAACCGGCGCTAAGCTCGAAATCAGTTCCAAAAACTACACTTGTAAGTGGAAGCAAATAAAACTGAAAAAGTGAGCCAAGGGCAAGGTCAGCTATATTCGAATCAGGGCCGATAAATTTTTAGAGTAGGTGTAAAATTGATTAACTCGAGGTCACTGGAAGTTTCGTTGCAATAGGCTCCTTTTTGCGCGTCTTATTGGGAAGGCCCGAGAGGGGTCCACCATCTGACCCCATTCCCTATATGTACATGTAGGCAGGTCCGAGGCCGAGGGTAGTCAAGGCTGAGGCTAGTTAGGTACAGGTCTCGCGGGTTTTAGCGGCAGGTTTTGCACCTAGAAAATTTAGTGTACTTCATCTTCGTCGTCTTAAGCTTTTCAGTGTTGAAGATGCGATCGACTTGTTGGTTCACAAGCCGGCCATGATCGTGTAAAATGGCTTCATCGTAGATCGATTAGTTTCTGAGATATAACCGGAAATGTAAAAGTGCAAAACCTACCGCTTAATCTCGCGAGAGCTGTACCTCGTAGTTACTGATACGTCATCCGACGAATCGACTGCAACCATTATTTAGACAATCAGACGAGCGATTGGGTCAGTTTTGGCGCGCTCACTCCTATGAGGGATAAAAGGGACTAGAATAGTGGCTACTTTAAAATATTGTCATGCTGATGTTCCACGCCCACAGCTTATTGACCTATAAGCAATAGGGACTTGGTAGCTCTTAAAGCGATTCTGAATCTGACGTTGTATTTGTTGATGTTGCTGACGCCAACTTCACTGACATGATAGCTCAAAAAAGCCTACTCAGTATCGCCAAAAGTGGGGGGTCGACCCCTCCCCCCGTTCTCACGAGAAGGGCGGTCGCGACCCCCGCGACCCCCCCCCCCCCCCCCTCCCCCGTCGGCGACGCCCCTGCAAAAAAAAAATAAACAAACGCCCGCCCGCTGCAAACCGCAAAAAAAAAAACGCAAAAACGCCGTCAAAAATAAAACCGTACAGGTACATGCATATGCATGTGAAGGTACTTAATGGCTAATTTGAGATTGGACCTATCACAGATAACAGTAGTACCTACTACTGTTATCTGTGGACCTATATCTATGTCGATACGTACCAGAATACCTACATCTATAGGCTTTATTACGAGCGAGCGAGCGCAGCGAGCGAAGTGAGTCTTTTCAATATAACGGAAAAATCTCAGTATGAGCGGCCCGGCCCGGCCCGGCCCGGCCCGGCCTGTAACGCTTTTGAGAGGCTTATATCTAAGCAACCGCTGGACCGATTGGCCTGCGGTCTTTTTTACAGGGTAGCCCCATCCCTTCTACCCCGTAATTGACTACTTTTGATACATCTCAGTGACCGTCGTGGCACATGCCACGTGAAAAGTCAAGGGTGTTCAAGCTGTTTTGCAAAAGTAGTGATTTTGAGAGGCCCATATCTCAGCAGCCGCTTGGGCGATTGTCTTGCGGTAATTTTTGTAGGGTAGCTGCATCCCCTCTACCAAAGGTCGGATACTCTTGATCTATATGAGTGACCCCCACTGCACGTGCAAAATGCAAAAGAAGAGGTGCCAAATTTGTTCCCATTTCAATAACTCGGTAATTACTGGGGCGATTTCGCTGAAACTTGGCATGCAAGTAGGCACACACCAGGCAATGCATTCCCACGTGTTCCGGTTAGGGTGCTACTGCACGTGCGCACGTGCAGGGGGCGCTCCCAGATCTCGAGAATGGCTGGGCCGATTGCGCTCAAATTTGGTACACGGTTGGGGACCAGTTAGTAGGGTGCCGTGCAAAAGTCAGTTTGGACCCCGTTTGCACGTGCGCACGTGCAGAATGCCGCTTCCAGATCTCAGGAACGGCTGGGCCGATTGCGTTCAAATTTGGCACACCGCTAGCGACCGGTTAGAAGGGTGCTTTGCACAAGCCCCGTTGGAAGTACCCTCTTGCCCTTCCGCACGTGCAGGGCTCACTATCTCGCTCGCTTGTTCTTCGCCCAAAAGGCGTTTTACTGGTATATAATATGGGTATGTCACTACGTTTCCATGACACGTCAAAATCGATTCAGCGAAATTTCACGTGCTTTTTCTCGGATACTATTCACCTTATGCAAAAAATTAGCGTACCTATATGTATATGGTTTTAGCTAGCACCTAATACTATTTTTACTGATCAAGTTAATTCCAGACCAACTGAAGACGATTTGTTCGAAACGCGTTTTGGTCTGTCAATACGTAAATACCTATAACTGAGGAATTAACTTTATACTACAGTACTACTACTTGTCAGTATGATGAATCCAAACTATATTTACATTCTTCAATAATGATTAATGCCTAAATGCTATGATGGAGCAAATCCATTTTGCAAAATCGGCTTAACTTGTACCATGGAAACGTACGCACTACGCAGCCTATAGTATATCTGTTAAAGGAAGGAAAACAACAGCATGCTAGATAGATGTGCGATTGAAATACTTTAACGGCTCTTTCGGACGTTTTCAAACGAAATATTAATGTGAACAGCTGTTGAGCTCACCGATCACATAAAGCCGACTCACGTCTTTTCGGGATCTCGACTATCCTAGCGAGTCTAGGAAATCTGTGATCGCTCAGAAATCGCGTGACATCGGCTGGGCTGTTTTTGTGAGTCATCAACCACACCAGAGGTCCGCAGTGTCAAACCCTGGGGCGGCAGCCTGTGCTTCACGACGGCAGTGAGTCGATACCTACTGGCAGCAACAGCCACGCCCTCCTCGGAACAATATCTCGTGTACATAGTTCTGGCGCTGACCGGGCCTCCCGGCTCCGGCTCGGAGTGCGGAGCCGTCGGCGGCCAGCTCCTGACCGGACTGGTCCGCCGACACACGGCCAAGCGCAGCTCGAAGCGCCGCAAAAATGCCGACCAGGAAAGTCGGGTATAAAGCAGCGCGGCAGCCGCCGTGGCTCATTGCGACGTGAGGAGGTCCGGTGCAGACATGGCTCGGTGTCGGCTGTCGACGCGGCTGCGGCCGCTGATGGTGCTCGTGCTGGTGCAGTGCGCGTTGGCCTCCCTGCGGCGGGTGCCGCGCCAGGCCACTGGCCCGTCCTCCGGCTCGGGCGCCGCCTCCAGCACCTCCTACCCCTACGAGCAGCAGCTCAACTACTACCAACAGCTGCTCAACCAGTACATCCAGTCCGGAAAGTACAACCAGGCCTTGAACGCGGGAAAGACGGGTTCCAGCGCGGCAGCGACAGCGACACCGACTCCAGCCCAGCCGGCGCCGTCGGCGGCGCCCGCCCCGGTCCAGCCGAGCGTGCCCGCCGCGCCGCCGACCGTGCCAACCAGCCCGGTGCCGGTGCCGACCGTGCCGCCCACCAGCCCGCCGCCGCCACCCACTCCCAGCTACGTCCCGCCGCCGCCACCCACCCCCAGCTACGTCCCACCGCCGCAGCCGCAGCCCTCGGCTCCCAGCTTCGTCCCGCCACCGCAGCCCTCGCCGACGCCGGAGCCGCCGGCGCCGTCTGAGCAGCCGGGCCTGAAGCCGACGGCCGCTGGAGGTCTGCCGTACCCCGGGTACCCGCTCAGTGACCTGGCATTCTCCAGCTACTTCCCCAGCCTGTCGCTCTACCAGCGCCTCCTGCCCAAGCCGAGCTCGTCCAAGGCGCCGGCCACCCCGGAGGTGTCCACCAACCTGGTGGAGCCCGTCCAGCCGGCGGCCGCCATCAAGGTGTTCGACACGGCGCCGCCGCCGCCGGGCGCTCCGCTGCCCCAGCCGACGCCGGTGCAGTCCCAGCCGCAGCCGCCGCCGCCGCCGCCACCGCCCGCCCCGACGGTCCCGACCACGCCGGCACCGGCTCCGACCGCGGCACCTTCCACTGAGGCGCCGACCGCGCCGGAGCCGGCGGCAGGCCAGCCTGGAGCGTTCCCGGGCCGCCCGTACTACCCGGGAGCGCCGTACCCCCCGCCGTACTACCCTTACTACCCACCGCCGGGCGCCTACCCCCGCGGAGCGCCCTCCCAGTCCGGCGCACCCTCCCAGCCGGGCTTCTACCCGGGCTACTACCCCGGCTACCCGTACCCGCCCTACTACCCGCCGCCCGGCTCTTTCCCGGGCGCGCAGCAGCCGGAGGCCAAGCCGGCGGCCCAGCAGAGCGCCTTGCCCGGCTTCGGTCTGGCGCCGGCCGCTCCCAGTCCCGCCGCGGCGCCGGCAGCGCCGGTGACCACCGCCGCCCCGGCACTGGCCGTGGCCACCCCGGCCCCGGTGGCGCCCGCCCTGGCGGCCCCAGCGGCGCCCGCTGCTCAGCTCCCCGCGCTGCAGACGGCGGCGTCCCAGCCGGTGCCCAGCGCGGCGGCGCCCAGCGCCCAGCCGACCGCCGTCGACTCGGTGGCCTCGTTGTTCACCCAGATCAAGACGCTGTACCCAGAGATCACGCTGCAGCAGCTGCTGACGCTGCTGAACGGCCCGGCCCAGTCGCCGCTCTCCAGCACGACGGCGGCGACTACGGCGGCCCCGACCGCGGCCCCGACCCCGGCGCCCACCCCGGCCCGCACCCTGGAGGCCGCCAAGCTGCCGCAGGAGTATCTCACGCTGCAGCTGACACCGGACACAGCCTTCCAGTCGGCCTACGACTCCGAGCTGGCGGCGCTCAAGCTCCGATCGCAGCTGGTGTAGGCTGGAGACCCGTCTCCGGACTTCGAGTGGCACGGAAGCTGAGGAGACTTACATGACAGAACGGCGAGCTCTGACCTCCAACGAGGCCAGGACCAAAACGAGAGCCAAACGGCTCTGAAAATGGCACGAGGAGGACCAGAAAACAGCCCTACATCTCGCACCGTATACGATCAGACACATACGGCCGCCAGCTGCATCCGCCATTGTAAACAGGCCCTAATTTGCCGCTATCATTTCCAGCACCGCCTCAGCATTACGTGTATATAGTTTGTGGTTGGTGCTCCCAAGCTGCCAGTGAACGTTTGCAAGGCGACTCCCGATTGCACGAAAGTAGCGACGGCGACCTTGTCTGCCCATATCGGTCTGTTTGTAATGCAGCCAGTCAGCTCGCCTGACCGGCGGAGTGCATGGAACGCTGTTTGTTGTTCGCCATAGCGTGCTGCTTGCAGGCTTCAATTTTGAGCAGGGACTGTTAGTAGGAGCAGAAGCTCCAAAGCTGTGTGAACCTGCTGACCGATGTGCTGTGTACATCTGGAATGAATGATCTATGGTGTTTCGTTTCGTCATCGTCTCTGTGTATTTATGTCATGTTATATGTTATTGGATGTAATACATATTAAGAAATCTTCATTTGTATGCACTGTATGCATAATGCAACTGCACAACACCGTCATCTATGGGCATATGAAACAGCCGGACTGAAACTTTCATACCCATGAAAGTTTCATAACAGCCGTCCTTGACCCACGAGACATCCGCAAATAGAGGGTTGTGGAGCAGGATGGCGAGGCGCTATTCCGATAAATTAACCCACAATAAAAACTAAAGAAAAAGGTTCCAGTGTTGTCGATGCATTGCGGTGCATATGACATTCCACACTCCCCTTCCACACTCCACAGTCCTGGGTGTACTGCGGCACAGTCTACCAGTCCCGGGTGTACTGCGGCACAGTCTACCAGTCCTGGGTGTACTGCGGCACAGTCTACCAGTCCTGGGTGTACTGCAGCACAGTCTACCAGTCCTGGGTGTACTGCGGAACAGTCTACCAGTCCTGGGTGTACTGCGGCACAGTCTACCAGTCCTGGGTGTACTGCGGAACAGTCTACCAGTACTGGGTGTACTGCGGCACAGTCTACCAGTCCCGGGTGTACTGCGACACAGTCTACCACTACTGGGTGCACCTATAAAGCGACACAGTCTATCAGTCCTGGGTGTACTGCGGCACAGTCTACCACTACTGGGTGTACGGCTCTCGCGAGATTAAGCGGTAGGTTTTGCACTTTTACATTTCCAGGTTATATCTCAGAAACTAATCGATCTACGATGAAGCCATTTTACACGATCATGACCGGCTTGTGAACCAACAAGTCGATCGCATTCGCATCTTCAACACTTAAAAGCTTAAGAAGACGAAGATAGGTATAGCCTGAAGTAGGTAAATTTTCTACGACGTCGGCTGGACCTCAGCAATTGATCTCGGTCCGACGTCGGCCCTACGTCGGCTGGACCTCGGCTGGACGTCGGTACATGCGGGCACATCCGACATCCAGCCGACGTCGTGCCGAGGCTGGACCGACGTCGGGCCGACGTCGGCATGCCGATGCCGAGTTGCCGACGTCACCCCGACGTCGGCATGTTTACTGGGCTACTAAGTGTACTGCGACACAGTCTACCCAGTACCCTACTATGTGTACTGCGGCACAGTCTACCCTGCTGTGTACTGCGGCACAGTCTACCCTACTATATGCACTGCGGCAGTCTACCCTACTATGTGTACTGCGGCACAGTCTACCAGTACTATGTGTAACTACTGCGGTACAGTCTACCAGTCCTTTGTGTAATGCGGCACAGTCTACCCTGCTATGTGTACTGCGCCTGCGGCACAGTCTACCCTACTATGTGTACTGCGGCACAGTCTACCAGCCCTTTGTGTTCTGCGGTACACACTACACAGGGATGCGGAGCCGTGAAAATTTCAGACGGCTCCGGCTCCGGCTCCGGCTCCGGAGAAAAAATCAGCTCCAGCTCCGGCTCTGGGTGAAATGTCATGGCGGCTCCGGCTCCGTCTCCGGCTACGAGTAAAATGGTCCGGCTCCGGCGGCTCCGGCTCCAGCTCCGGCTCCGACTCAATACATCCCCTCGGTACACTCTACCAGTCCTTTGTGTACTGCGGCACAGTCTACCCTACTATGTGTATTGTGTACTGCGGCACAGTCTACCCTACTATGTGTACTGCGGCACAGTCTACCAGTACTATATATACTGCGGCACAGCCTACCAGTACTATGTGTACTGCGGCACAGTCTACCCTACTATGTGTATTGTGTACTACGGCACAGTCTACCCTACTATGTGTACTGCGGCACAGTCTACCGGTCCGGGATGTGCTGAGGCAGAGTGCAGTCGTCTAGGATTCCAGGGCGCATGCTGCATACCGATTGCACTACAGGCGATGAATGAACATCCAATGTGTTGTGCTGTAACTTGAAAATACATCTAATCTCGTTTTTATGTCGTCAACAATGAGCAGATTGACGCAGAACGAGACAACCGAAGATGTATTATCGAAGAAAAAGGTGCAGCGACAAGAAGGTGGACACGAAGAAGGACAACAAGATTCCAAAACCGTAAAACCAGTAAAACGCCTTTTGGGCGAAGAACGAGCGAGCGAGATAGTGAGCCCTGCACGTGCGGAAGGGCGAGAGGGTACTTCCAACGGGCTTGTGCAAAGCACCCTTCTAACCGGTCGCTAGCGGTGTGCCAAATTTGAACGCGATCGGCCCAGCCGTTCCTGAGATCTGGAAGCGGCGTTCTGCACGCGTGCACGTGCAAACGGGGGCCAAACTGACTTTTGCACGGCACCCTACTAACCGGTCCCCAACCGTGTACCAAATTTGAGCGCAATCGGCCCAGCCGTTCTCGAGATCTGGAAGCGCCCCCTGCACGTGCGCACGTGCAGTAGCACCCTAACCGCAACACATGGGAATGCATTGCCTGGTGGGTGCCTACATGTATGCCAAGTTTCAGCGAAATCGCCCCAGTAATTACCGAGTTATGGAAATGGGAACAAATTTGGCACCTCTTCTTTTTGTATTTTGCACGTGCAGTGGGGGTCACTCACATAGATCGAGAGTATCCGACCTTTGGTAGAAGGGATGCAGCTACCCTACAAAAATTACCGCGAGACAATCGCCCAAGCGGCTGCTGAGATATGAGCCTCTCAAAAGCGTTACAGGCCGGGCCGGGCCGGGCCGCTCATACTGAGATTTTTCCGTTATATTGAAAAGACTCACTTCGCTCGCTGCGCTCGCTCGCTCGTAACTATAGTGTTATTAAGAACATGGTATGGTCAGATGTGGATCCATACGATTCAAAGACGACAGCTTAGGTGACGCTTCCCGTCTCAAGGTCCCGCTGAAGAATGATGAATGCCGACAATGTTACGGCGGTACGATCCATCGTGTAGTCCCCCGTTCAGCGATACCGCCAGTGGCAGCGAGCACCAAGGTCGGGGAGCACTGCACCCGGCACGGGCCCGACAGCCGGGCCAGTCCGGCCGACCGACCAGTACCGCAGCCACATTTGGCACGCCATACCGCCTGTATCGAGCGGCGATCTGCCTGATTCGGCCCCGATTCCTCCCTGCACCGGCCTCACGACGCGCCGGTCTGCGACTCTTACCTGTACACTTATACCTGGGCGCACTGCCCACACGGTCAACCACGAGTGCCGTGGGCAGTGAGAGCGATGATTCAACTTTGAGCGACATTCTCCGACACTTTGTAATGAAGTGCATTAGTTTTCCTCAACGGAACCGCCTTGGAAATGCCAAATAAGGTCCATAAGCATGACTGAACCCGCATTATTGACGCCCCTTATACTCATTGTACAAACACGAATGATATGGACGAAACTGACTAATGCGTTTAAAAGGATCCGGCTTAGCAGCATAGCAGCATACATGATACATGAAGTTATTTTATTTTGGGAAGAGATGTGTCATCACTCATCATATTCAAAGTACTATGTAGGTCTCAAAGACGTACAGAAGTATGCCGCCCAGCGGTGCGTGCTGAATTGCGAAATGTTGTCACTATATAACAATTCAATACAACGTTACCATGAACATTTTCAGGAGCACGATCGAATTTCAAGAAATATATCAATCAGTGACGCGGATGTGAAAACAGTACTTCGCTTTCAATCAAACCATAACGAACCATGTAGGTACTCCGGCTGACACCCATCACAATCAGATTCTGTGGCACGACCCACTGCGAACAAGGGTGCCTGCCTGGACCACGACAAGCCAGCCTGAACCCTATGAACAGCTATCTACTGAAAAGGACTGAAATGGGAGTTAATCCAACCCTTAGCAAACCTGGGCTCTTCAGATAAAAATCAAGAGGCCGGGCGAAAGGGTCCGCCTCAGACCGAACACCGGCGGACCGCGCTGTTCCCGACCGGGGTGTCTGAAGAATCAGAGCACGGGCCGAGCCGTCCCGGCCTGCCCGGGCCGCTACCGCACCCTGTGTGTATTTGGACAGAGCCGCACCCAGTCAGGCCCGTGCCTAACTGAACGGTGCTGGGCCCAGGGCACTGGATCGCATCGTGTGCGTCCTTCCGACGTCCGTCCGACTGTGTTCTAGTGCTGCTGTGAAGTCTCGCTACCAATACAATCCGCGATAGGCATTGCATCCGAAATGCATTGCGATTAGCGCCACTGCGCCAGTATTTAAGACGCGGCATAATTGACAGCAATCGGCTTTCGATGACGCTGAACAGAGCATGGCTAGAAGATGTGTATATTATGACAAGCGGCACAAATGACGCTACAATATGTGACTAAAGTACGCACACATATACGATACGACACAAAACACAAGCTTATGGTCAAGATGGTACGGTTGCATCACGTGAAAATGGGTTTTTCAAACAAGTCTGGTACTTGGTAGCATATAATTAATAGTGATTTGGCAGTTATCGCGAGACAAGGTAACACTAACCAACAATGACGGTGAACAGCTTAGGGCTATTTTTGCGGGAAATGTGAATTATTCCACAAGTTATTATCTATGTACAGCACTGAGAGCATTGTCCCGATGTGAAGATCATCCCGATAGCTACATCGAATATCCTTTGAGGAATCATAGTATGTAGGCACAAAAACTCATTTACCGCACCTTTCAAAGAAGCGGGAGAAAGTCCCCTATCCGTTCCAATGGCCCTGGAAATGCATCTCCCCTGGAAGAGGTCGGGTCGCCGCTCGGATACCGACCGCACCCGCATCATCACCCCTGCTAGCGGAGCTAGAGAGCCAGTCACCGGCACTGGGGTCCCGACTCCCAGCACTGCAGCCACAACCCTGATCACTGGTAATCACTGCCGCTACCAGCGGAACTCAGTTCCGGCGATCTTTGGTGAAATGACAATAATCAGACTGGTCATGATTGTATCACTAGTTTTCAAAATCACGATCAATGATCGAAGGCGGTCTCGACCATCGATTGTAAGGCTCAGCAATCACTTATGGGTATCATCTGAGGCAGATGGCAGATCACATTTGGACTGACTAAACATTCACAGTACGTTACCGCTCACAACCACTCTGCACACACCACACCACGCCAGACCTCTTCTCTTGAATGTCGTAAATAAATACGCGGGACTAGACTACCGATGACACGAAGCGAAATCTCCAAAGCAAACTATATCATATTCCCCGTCCCCGTCCTCCGAGCCCAGGCCACCCCGGTGCTGGACCCACCAGCACCTGACACGCCCCCCCCCCCCCGCCTACAGCAGAGTGACTGCCACGCTCTTTTTGCTGTTCTTCTCGGGCGGCTGCGGCGACGCGGCGCCGTTCGTCTCGCGACCGCTGGGACCCACCACGATCACCACCTTTTTCTCGCGCGGCGGCGCCCCGTCCGAGGACGAGGCGCCCCCGGCCGACTGACCGTTAGTTGCCGCGGGCGCCGGTGAGGGCGCCGCCGGCGGCGGCCGGTCGCGCCGCCAGCGCGCCAGCACCTTGTCCAGCTGGCCGATGAAGCGCTCCACGTCCGTCTCGGTGATGCCGATGGCGGCGGCGGCCGTCAGGTAGGCGTGAGGGTAGTGACTGTGGTGCGCGCCCCACCCTGCCGGCCGACACGGGGAGCGGTCACCGGCACCGCCGAGGATCGACCACGCAGTTCAGACACCACCGGTCGCGACAAAATGGAAATACATATGGACCATAGATGACAACAGAACAATACAAACGACCTATTGGCGATATGACATAACTCAAAATATGAAGCTTTCATATAGAATCTATGAATAAAAAATGTGGTAATATAACTGTTGATGAAGATATCACGAATTCGTGTAAGGAATATGTATTACATGCTGATTACGCATAGCAAACGCCACTCGTTCAGTAATCGATAGCGCACTGCTTAGCATTGCTTTAGCGAAAGTAGCATCTTGAACAGATCAGACCGTCCTCCCTCCAGATGCGTCCTCCCCCACCGCCTCACAGCCGCCTCACCTTCGAACTGGTGGCCGGCGATGACCTTGGTGTCGCCGGGGGCGATGACCCGAGTGCCGGACACGCAGCGCGTGTAGAGCATTGAGCCGATCTGGGTGAGCTCGGTCCGGTCACCGCCGCGCCCGGTCAGAGTCATACCTGCCGGGCACCGCCGGAGGGGCAGCCGAGTCAGTCAGACAGACGAGTCAGTCAGGAGGAAACAGCATACACAGGAAACCGGTAAAAAGTTACACAAAAACGGAGCAATCCGTTATTTCATCCCCGGACCAATCATTTTGGCTGCTCCGGGCGTGTCTATAAAATAGCCCCCTTCCCGACGACGGGCGCCGATTGAACATAGGCTCCCAATCTCCGCTCGGATTTGGGTTATTCTCTCATCGATGGAGATTGGGTTGTTCTCTCATCGATGGAGATTGGATTGTTTCTCACCGATGGAGATTGGGCTATTCTCTCAGCGATGGAGATTGGGTTGTTTTCTCACCGATGGAGATGGGGTTGTTTCTGGTGAGCAGCAGCCGCTCGCCGTGCCGCTCTGCCAGCTGCATCATGCGCTGCTGCAGCTCGGTGTACATCCGCTTCCGCTCCTGGAGGCGAGCCTTCCAGCCCTCGGCGCCCAGCGCCAGCAGGGTGATCAGCAGGTCCACCGAGGGCGCAGCGGACGCCCGACCTGCCGGGAGGGTACGAGCAGACGTCAGTCCCACTGGAGAGGGCGCTTCAGGCCTGTTTGGTTTTCTCTGAGGTCGCCAGAGTAGCCGTAGGCTGGGACGGGCCCACACATCCCACCGCTTGAAAGGAACTGGCTCGGAGGGGCGGGCTTTCAGTTAATTAAAATCAACTAATAAACGACTAAAAACCACAGGCGGAAGCTAACACAGAGTCCGACGCTTAAAGTATTGGAAACTTCTACTGAGAATACTGCATGCAATACAATACAGAAAACAGATATAGGCAGCCGCGACTCAACCATCCATTCACATGGCCGACTTAACTCCACTGTCCACGACAGTACCTGGGTAGTTTTTGCTGATGGAGTCGACCAGGGCCTTGTCGAAACCGGCGACGATGGCGCCGCCGACGGGCACCATGAAGTTTTTGTCGGTGCTCTGTACAACGACGTCCACCCGGCCGGTCCTGCGGGTCGCGACAGATTAATGTCACCGGGATGGAAGCGCATGTGATCAATACGATAACTGCGACCATGTTATATTTTGTAGCTTCATATAAACGGAAAATATTAGACGCCAGTATCTTCATTGTATAAACAGATAGTTGACAATGAATGCAGGGTCCTGAGTGACCACTATCCGAGTTTATCCAAGCATTGGCTGCCAGCGAGCCTCTGCCACATTTAGCCCGCGGTGCCGCGGCACTGACCTGGCCGCCTGCTGTATCTCGTGCATGCACTTTGAGCTCTGCACACCGTAGGCGTTGTTGATGACGTGCGGGATCGAGTGGTCTCGACACAGAGCCCCGAGCTCCTCCAGACGGTCGATGCCGCGCGGCGCGAAACAGCTGCAACGTGCCGCATGAGGGGTCAGCAGCTAACCGGTAAAACAAAGACAGCAAATAACACGACAACAAAAGCCAATATCACGTCATATGAGGGTCACGCTACCAGGAACTAAGCGTTCCATTTTGGACAGGTCGGAATCATCTTAGCACAGACAGGCGCTAATAAATCGAAGTGGACAGAACACCTGTGAGTACGTTTTCGAGTTGTTCCCAGGTGCAGCCGGCTCACCTGGTGGTGCTGAGGACACACAGAATGTTCTCGGCGCCCTTGGCCACGATGGCACGCTGTACGTCGTCGATACCCGTCCGCAGCTCGTCCCCGTCCAGCTCGTTCTCAATGACGATCGGCTCAAAACCTGCGCGAGCCAGAGCGTCACATGACGGGAATGTACTTTGTTAAGACATCAGACGCTGGACATAAAGATAAAATTATATTAGACAAATAACATAAAAAGCAATCGAATGACGACAATAAAATCAGAAGAGCATCCACATTGCTTCTAGTATTGACAAAGAAAACAGACATTGGTGCCCCGTGCTCCCCACCTAGATCTCCCTCTCCGATCTTCACAACCGCTCCTCCTCACTTGGGCCCGACCAGCTGACCCCCAGTATCAGCTGCCCTGCAGCCGACCCACCTTTCCAGCCAGCCTCGCGGCCGCCCCACCCTCCCATCTGCCCCGCGCCGGTCCCACCTGCCGTGACGATGGCTTTGAAGCAGCTCTTCTGGTCGATGCGCGGCCAGATGACGTACCGGGCGCGTGGCCGACTGTGGCGCAGCGTCAACAGGCACAGCGTCACCGTCATACCGGTGGCCATCGGCACCACGAAACAGGCGCGCGCCGTGCGCAGGCCTGGGGACCAGAGCGGGCAGAGGCGTCAGGTCACCGCCGGCCGGCAGGGCTCGCAGCACTCCACCTCAGTGCGGTATTACAAACAACGGTAACACAGGACAGCCGAGAACGGCTGCAGCATAGCATGCTGCTTCCAGCATTGGGACCGGCCACCATCGGACTAACAGTAATTGCCGCACCGGCACACACCTTCCGTTAACGATGTAGGTAGCATTGTAAATTGCAGCCTTTCCTACCCTGTGCTGCCTACCACACCCCGTGTACCGCTAGAATCGCCTCGCACTTTTCCTTCCGGCAGCTGCCAGCCTGTGTGTGCGACAAGAGCAATCCCGTCATTAGCCAGAGTGCAATGTGAAACACAGCGAGACACCTCACACCACATGTCAGCATTTTCCGCCCGATATGGCGGGAAGTGTTCCCAAGGAGGGACCCCAATCGCCCCGAATGTGTGCCGCAGTCCCCCCCCCCCCCCCCGAATGCACATGTGCCGCCGTAGGAACCCCCGGTCGCCGGTCGCCCCCAGTGAGGTCGCCCGCCGGTCACCTGCCGCCCGCAGAGCGTCCAGCGCCAGGTCGTTGGTGAGCCGATTGATGACGCTCGAGCCGGCCGCCTTGGGCTGCGGCTCAGTCAGGTCGCCCGACCGGCCGATGCCGTGACCCAGGTGGAAGTGGCGCCGCGACACCAGACCTGGGGGCGAGTTTTCCACGAGTAAGGATACACGTGTGTACATTACGCCGTATTACACAGCGCTGGCCGCTACAGACATGGCTACCGACTGCCAGCGTAGTGCGTACCTACATCGCGAAACCAATGCCGTTATCGTCCAAACGGTAAACACGCACGCATTTGAGTTTACTGCTCAAACCTGCGCACTCATCAGTGCAAACGGACGCTCGGCTCAGCCGACCACTGTAACCAGGCCAAGGTCCGCACCCCTACACTCGAACGTGCGTCAGCGAAAACGGCGAGTCGAACACAACAAACGAATCGTCTGGCAGCCGCGCCATCCACAAAGCCCGGCAGAACCCCGTCAGTGAGATTTAATGCGTACAGGACACGTTATTAACTCGTAGTGACTATCAACCAGGCGCGTATAGCTCATGATCAATGACTGCATATCGAAATGACTCATCAAATGAAACACCAACTCAAATAAACACTGCAGTCAGAATCTGATCGGTCCCACATCACCCTGTATCCCGGGATCTTAAACATAAATAACACATGTGTTCCCTTTCCCACCCCGTGCCACAGCACCCACTGCACAGCCCTGGTCTACTCTACAACTGCCGACTGACCTGATGCGAGTCGGGCCTCCCGCTCGCCGACGCCGCAGTTGGAGGGGAAGTTGTTCGAGTCCATCAGCGAGAGTTCGCCGAGGAAAGACTCGATCAGCTGCTCCGACCAGCCGTCGGCAGGCAGTTTCCGCTGTGAGCGGGCCGACCGGGCACGGTAAACCATCGGCCGCTGGGGGGGGGGGGGGGGGCCGAACAGTACCCACGGCCACCCATACCCGGGCCCGGAGAGGAAACACTGCAGTCTAGGAGTAAAACGCAGCCCAGAGCCCCGCCATCGTGGGAAATATGTTCAGTCATAGGTATAGTCGACTACAGAATGATGTTCCACTTTTCACAGGCAATTATTTGCCTGAAGTGGTAGGCTGTGGCACATCACACGGGCTGAGTTCACAAATTATAGCTTTGTCCCAATGCTCACAATCGACACGCTTAATTGCGTGATAAACGGCACAACTTAGCGCTCCGGTCAACTGATAGCTTCTGAGGAGTGCAACGTCATTCTGTAGTCGACTATACATACAATGCAAATCTAGCGGTCGATGAAATTAGCTGTAATGTAAGCAGCCGTTGCAAGGGGATCAACAAAATGGAAATGTGATGCATTACCTGTTCAAGAAGTATGCGAAACACTTTCGCTCTGCTATCTTGTGCATCATTTGCTGTTGTCAAAAATGCCCTAGGAACAAGTTTGGCTGCAGCATCTAAAGCTTCCGCATCCATTTTTCAATCGGCAAATTAATGATCACTGTAAAGCAAAATAAGCTTACAGGTTATTGCGGTTCTTTTAAACAGCAGTGTTGCCAATACAGGTAAGCACTGGTACGTGGCCCTCAGAGGCGCCGGTGTGGGGACTCTCACGAGTCGCCGATGTAGGCCCTGAAGATGCGCTGGTGTGGATCCCTTGGAGGTGGCGTGAGGGGCCTCGCAGGTGCCGTTGTGGGGGCTTTTAGAAACACTGGTGTGGGCCGTGGGGCTTTCATAGACGGGTGTGGAGCCATTGCAGCTGATCCCTCATTGGCCGTTACTAGGGCCCTCAGAGGCCGGCAAAGTCTCTCAGAAATCGGCATCGGGCCCTTTATTGAGATAAATGTGGCTACTTAGGAGCGCATAACGTGCTCGCACAAGCCCTGTGGTGTCCTTCCGAGTTGAAGTGCGACCAGAGGGTGGCAGGCTAATTGGTGGCAGACCCTCTGCCACCAATTGGCGCCGCACGGGTTCGAAGGAACCCAACCCTAAACCCGAGAACGGGCACGTAACCCCTCGCTCCCTGGCTATGCCACTGAATCCAAGTGATCAGGGACCCTGCAGGCAATCAGGGACCTCTCAGTAAACAGGGGCCACTCAGGTAACTGCAGGAGTCCGGAGTCCCTCAGATAACCAGGGGCCGGCAAGATCTCTCAGGTCCATTTTTGACAAGGCTGTTATTGATGTCAGTTGCGAGCCCTTTGCCCCCAGCTGAGGGCCCTTTCAAGCCTTTTGATTTTTGAGGGTCGTTTAACGTCTCTTGAGCTCCCTTTGAGGCTTCCTAAGGGTCCTTTGAGCAGTCAAGGGGCCTTTGAGGCTTTCTGAGGGTCTCTTGACATCAGCTAAGGACCGTTTGGGGCCTTCTGATGGCCATTAGACGCCAACTGAGGGCCCTCTCACCTCTGACACCAGCTAAGGGCCCGTTAAGTTTGACGCCAGCTCAGGGCCCTCTGACATCAGCTGGGGGGCCCTCTGACACTAGCTCAGGGCCCTTTGACACTCTTTAAGGCCTTCTGAAGTCTGTTTGACGCCAGCTGAGGGCCCTCCAACACTAGCTTGGGGCACTTTGACGCCAGCTAAGGAACCTTGAGGCTTGAAGGCCTTCGCAGGACCGTGTTACGCGAGCTCAGGACCCTCTGACATCAGCTGGGGGCCCTATGATGCCAGCTCAGGGCCTTTGACGCCCTTTAAGGCCTTCCGAGGTCCATTTGACATTAGCTGAGGGCCCTTTGACACCAGATGAGGGTCATTTGATGCTAATTGAGGGCCCTTCGAGACCATCTGAGGACCCTGTGACGCCATCCGAGGGCCCTTTGAGGCCTTTTGAGGGCCATTGAAATTTCACCACAATCGCCCTGACTGCACTACTGGGCATATCATGGACTCATATGGGCCTGTTGGGGAGCGAGCTGGGCCCTCATGGTCTTTTCAATCATTATTTCAGCTCATTTTTACAAGGTCTTCAACGGTCTAGGGATTAGGGGCCCCCAACTCGAATGGGGGGGGGGGCAGGTGCCCCCCTTGTGTGCGCCCTTGAAATGGACCATAAAACATATATCACATGACACTTTCGTATTGTGACCCTCAGTAACCTGACCTCTGTGACCTGACCTGGTATTAGTGACCTCAAATAGAAAAATATGTGTTTTACAGACAATTCCAAAAATAAATTTTTCAATAATATGCATTTTTACCCAATTTTACAACACAATTCAGTCATTTAATTCCTTTGCACTCTTTTAAAACTAAAGAAATTCAAAAAACAAAATCATGAAAAGAAAGAATACCTACATCTTTCTAAGGTAGAAAAGTGAGATAGGTAACACATAGGGGAGAGCGGGGCCAGTTGAAACACGGGGTCAGATGAAACATGGCTTTATTTTCAACAGTATGCAACATATGGCGTTGCCGACACCACTGCGCATCCGCGCTCGACCACTTCCTTTGTCAACGGCGTTTGGGCGGCAAACGGACGGTAATTTTGATTTGACACTTGTTTTTGTGTTTTTTAGGGGCGTTTGGGAGAAATCGTTTTTATGAATATTTTGTGATATCTCATATACCTTTGTTTGCTGAAAGAAGAACTCCTGGCTCCGGAATAACACCTTATTTGGCCCTTCATTCAGCATGATGCCATCCCTCCAGCTCGTTTGACATGTTCTTTACGGCGCGTGCGAGATGGCGGGAGCGGATGGGGTCAATTGAAACGCTTCTCTGAGGGTCAGTTGAAACAGGGCCACAGGCCGTTTCAATGGACCCCGGTGACCTTTGCAATGGTTATTGTTCAGGGTCTGTAAACATTAAAGGAAATAGTCCACCTTTGAAATGAGCTTTTAAACTGAAATAGTAGTTTAATAGAGCTCAATTTTTGACCCCTTTTTCTCCAGCCTTTTGCTTGAAAGCACACTATAGCCTGAGATATTTCTCATTTTCCTCATCCGCCCATTTTACCATAGTCTATGTACTTTATGTCACCTATTATGAGGAACTTTGCACTTTTAGCTTTCCAACGACCTATTGAATGTAGCATTTGGAAAATTAAACCGGACAAAATATCTCCTTAAGAAAGTGACCTTAAAGAGGAAAACATCCCATTGTTAAGGATAGGTGCAATTGACCCCATGGGCTGGTTCAATTGACCCTCGCATCGGGGTCATTTGAAACGGGCGTAGAGCTGTTTTATAAGCATGCGTTTGGCAGCAAAATATGTTTGAAACATAATTTTAAATATCTTAAAATAAAGCCAAAAGAGCATATTTTTTCATGGTCTTGTGCATTTTTCGATATGACAACTAGATCTCGCTGTGCATGTCAATATATAAAAAGTGGTTCAACTGGCCCCGCTCTCCCCTAGATACTTATGATACATTTTACACAAAACAAGATAAGTTACACCCGACCCAACCACTCGTTGAGTCGGTTAAGGTTATGTGGTGTATAAGTAGATTTAGGTTGTAGTTTAGGTTGTAGGGTACTATGTAGGTTGGTACTTGGTAAGTGTAGGTTGGTACTTGGTAGGTGTAGGTTGGTAGGTTGTAGGTTGGTAGGTTGTAGGTTGGTAGGTTGTAGGTTGGTAGGTTGCAGGTGTAGGTTGGTAGTTTGTAGGTGTAGGTTGTAGGTTAGTAGGTAAGGTTAGGTCAGGTTAGATTAGGTTTGTTTATTTCTGCTTGTATTGTACCTGATTTTTTAACATTAAATAATTGTATGAACAATTTTCTAGGTGCATGGTTTGTGTGGTTTTTATTCAATTTTGAGACCAGGGTGCAAAAGAGGGATTTGACCCACATTTTTTAAAATGCCTGTAAACGGCAAAAATTTGACATTTGAACTGACCTGTGACGTCATTGGTTAGACCAAGGTCAATGAAATTGGGTGACAAGGTAGTGCCCTGTTTGTGTTGGGGCTATCCACCAACGTTTACTGCTTGTCGCTATGTTGCATGGTTCTCTAGATCTTAGAGGGGGCCAAAATGGCTTCCCATCAAGATCAGGGCGCGCTCAGACTGCTGCTCGGCAGACCCCATCAGGGTGTGGGTTAAAATAATTATTCACTCATGCTCCTTGGAAAGGCACTATGTGATATCATCAAGGAGTCTTGGCATTAGTAGAGAAGACGTCACACAAAGGTTTTCCAACCGAGGAGACTGAGAGGCGCTGTAGGTTTGTAGGTTGTAGGTTGTAGGTTTTTAGGTTGTAGGTTGTAGTTTAGGTTAGGTCAGGTTAGGTTAGGTTTGTTTAGGTTTTCCTAGAAAGAAGCACCACCGGGCATGGCGCCTCTCTTTGGTTGGAAAACCGGTATATGTCAAGTTTACGTCCTAAGCACATATTGATATATTATCAATGATGATAGAATGCAAATAAATTATCATTGAAATGTGCTTAGGACGTAAACTTGACATTTACCGGAAAACCTTCGTGTGACCGGTGACGTCTGTTCTACTAATACCGGAGTCTTAACTCTTTCTGGACCCACTGATATCAATTTTGTGGAATCATCAACTGCAAAGCTTGTCATTCAAAAAATAATAATCATAACAAATCGCTGTTCTAGCAAATATTCCTTATACCCTTTTTCTATCACACACCACAGTCCACACCTCAACCTCCTCCACTCTCGCAAAGTATGTAACTCAAATGCAAGAGGGCCAGGCGAGACTCAAATCACGCGTGAAGCATATCGTTCATAAGGTTGTAATTTCATTGGATTCTAACAAACAAAAGTCCTTATTAGCATCCTTTCGCTTCATATGTTGCGCATCTAGGACATTGAAAAATCAAGACAAAATAGGATCAACTGGACCATCATTTTGATGACGTCAGTAGTTTATCACGCTTGGAAGCAACTTGGAAGAGCGTTTATGAAAAATATTTGCCTATTATAAAAGAATTAGCAATCCCCATATTTTGTAATAACTGTTCGTCATTTTTCATCAAAATATATCTCGTTTAATGCAATATTTTTTCTTACTTGTCTTTTATTAGGAGGGAAGCATGACGCAATAGAAAACACATTAAGCATAATTCCTTTACGAATTCGATATCCTTGATATCAAGGTTTTATATCACGGTCCTTGCATGAGTATTTTTCGGATTCAGATTGAGATAGAGGGTGCAAATGCAAAAGAGACTGTAGCAGCCTTATCTATAAATTATTATTGCTAAAGGTAGTAGTCAATTGCAGGCACGTAGCCAGGATTTTGCTCAGGGAGGGGCCACAGGTCGAGGCCAAGTTTGTACCCCTCCGAAGAGGAAAGCTCCTCTGATTTAGCCCACTTTTTCAGAGGTGTAGTGGAGCTGTTGTTATTTATTAAATTTTGTATTATATTTATTTTATTTCCTGCATTCAGGGGGGGGGGGGAACCGGGCATGGCCCCTGTGCCCCCCCTGGGCTACGTCCCTGGTCCATTGCTACATACCTACCTGTTTCAGTGACCCTCTTTTCACACTTATAATATTACCTAGATTTATTGACAGGTTTTTCTCATTTATGTTTCTGTACTGCCTTGATTCAAATTTACCAATTGTGAATCTTAAAGGCAAGCATTTACTTTTTAGGGGAAAATATTCTGTCTTTTTCATGCACTCACCTTTTAACCTGTTCAACTCACCTTTTTAACAGGTTAATGAATGATAAAATGAAAAAATGCACAGTTTTGACGTACTGGGAATTCCTTCTCTGCCTTAGTCAATCTGATATAATGCCAGTTTATTTTGTTAATGTTTCATTTTCATAGGTGTCAATTGGCATGGGCCTGCTGCCCTAGCTTACCAAATTTATGAAGTTTTAACATTCATGCAATGGTGCTACTGCTGCATGTTAAAAATGTTTTTAGTATCCTAAATGAACCATTTGAGCCCTACCAATAAGACATATAAAAAGTAACACCATGCAGGTTGATAATTGTAAATATTTTAAATCACCTTATGATAGAGGTTCATCCATTTGTAATTAGGCAGGATCATGGTGTCTGATTGAAACTGCAACTAATTGAGTTGCTGGTTGGTAGAATAGAATGTGCTTAAAGTTTTGTATTTGACTCCTAGCTGGTCTGCTGGTTATTAAGTTACTTTTTTCAGGAAATTTTAGGATGCAGGACTACATTGTCAGCCAGAGGAGAAGAAATAGTGCCCACCAATCAATGGGCATGTATGCCCAGCCTTCAAATGGGTAAGAAGCTGTTCAGTATGTCTGTTATCTCATTAATCCCTGTCATTTCATTAAGAAATTGTTTAATTAAGCCTGCCATCTCATTAGGCAGTTCTGAATGGCCTAATGAATAAGCCATGAGGTGTCTGCCTTCAGAACTTGATAGCAATGAGTTGCTGCAGGAGAGCAGTACACTGTCCTATAACTGTTTGTTGCTGTGCCTGCGTTAACTCTGGGCCTGCTGGGAATAGAGATGCTCAAACTGTAATAGAAAGCAGGTACCTACCATTCTGCTATCTACCTGTGAAACCTGCCATTAGATGGAAAGCCTAAGAAATAGAAGCAGAAACCCAAACTTTTTCTACACGTTTACCTTATTTACTCCTTTTTTTTGAAGAGTTAAATAGGCTGTTTTCCCCAGATTTGCTCTGGTGCATTGTCAGTTTGTATCACGAACTCTTTCAAATCCAGACTACCCACTGTAGGGGCATTCAGTAGTCAGTACATCTCAGTTTTTATACATAAGTTCATAACACAATACACACCAAATGTCATTATAACTGAAGTGATTTGTTCCTACAGGACCCTGCCTCTAAATTCTGTGTAACTGTAAGGTTAGACAATGTTGAATACATTGCCAGGTGCTTGTTTGAGAGGTCTGCTTTCTACAGGGCATTTCTTGTTCAAGAACACTTATGTCCTTTGACTCCCCTACGCAGGCATTAGGGCTGCTACCACCACTGATAATGTGCTGTGGTGGTAGCAGCCCTCTCCCCCTGTAAGTGTGGTGTGTTTAAGGTCCAGACAGTGACCCTGCCACCCCTGAACGGCCCCTGGGTGCCCTCAGGGCACGGTGAACCCTGCCGCCCCTGTCTGTTCCCTGTGTGTGCTCAGGGTTCAGTGGACCCTGGCCAGCCACTGTATATCGTACTATATACTCAGGGTGCAGTGAAACCTGTCAACCAGGGCTGCAGAGTCGATTAATTTTTGGTAACTCAGACTCCGACTCCGACTGACAAAAACAACTCCGACTCCATGCGAAACTGTCGACTCCGACTCCGACTCCGCAGCCCTGCCAAGTCTGTGGAGTCTATGGATTTTGGTGACTCCGACTCCGGCTCCGGTTTCCAAAAACAACTCGGACTCCGACTACGGTCAGGACTGTCGACTCCGGCCGACTGCGACTCCGACTCCGCAGCCATGCCGTCAACACTGACCACCCCTTCCCTCCAATATACCCATGGTGCAGACAGTGAACCTCGGTCTCCCCTCTGATACACCCAGGGTGCAGACAGTAATCCCCAGTCTCCCCTCCAATACACCCAGGGTGCATTGAACCCCAGTATCTCCTCTGATACACCCAGGGTGCAGACGGTGAACCCCGGTCTCCCCTCTGATACACCCAGGGTACATTGAACCCCGGTCTCCTCTCCATTACACCCAGGGTGCATTGAACCCCGGTCTCCCCTCCATTACACCCAGGGTGCATTGAACCCCGGTCTCCCCTCTGATACACCCAGGGTGCAGACGGTGGTGACTACCGAGCCGCCCGAGTCGGCCGGCGGCGGCCGCTCGTACGCCTTCTGGCTGCTGGTGGCCGTCGTGCTACTGGTAGCTGTGTTCAACCTGCTCATCACGCTGACACTCATCAGCGTGCTGCGCATCTCGGTCGGCATGGAGAGCGTCCAGGTACGGCCCGGCTGGGTGGTGCCGGGCTCGGGGACTGCTTTCTCATTTTTTTTTTTTTTTGGTGATTCGTTTTTAATCGCAGCAATTTATCGATAAATTGTCGGTAGACGCGTATGCTATAAATGATGGTGCAGGTGACGGGCAGAGGTATGTTTTATGGCCTTGGGCAGAGGCTCGCTTCTGGGACCAGGTAGGATACGATATGATTGATATATGATTCGAAGGGGTTTTCATAAAGTTTAAAGCTCATGCCTATGCCTGGCTGGGAGTTTTGGGTTATTTCCAATGGACTGCTGATTTTCAAAGCCGCTCATAGCTTGATCGAATATCACGGCTGACGCAATCGTGTTTCATGCATGCAATACCAACCATTCTCTGGGCAGTGCACTATGTGTACGTCCGGCCGCCCTCTGACATCCCCTCCCTGCGGCAGTTCGTGGACGGGGGCATGGTGCTGCCGGGCACCGTCAACCTCGACCGGCTCTACAAGCCCGACGGCAGCTTCATCGGCTTCGACGGCGACCCGATGACCGTCACCGGCGACGCGGGTCAGGTGGACCTTCTGGTGAGCCCCCGGCGCGCGCCGCGGCGCCGCCGATCGGGCGACTGGCTACACGGCTGCTCGTAATATAGGTACTCAATCGTTGGCGATATGTTACGTGAAAACTGAATTGATGGCACTTATTTTTGTGATCAGAAACAGATCGTTACGGTTGAGAATATAATTGCGGAATGTTACGTAGTTGGAGAATGGAGATGCTGGGTGATATTGTCCGCCACGATTGTCTTGTCTAGCGCTCTTTATCGTCTACTGAGTGACCATGTCTAATGTCTTGTCAGTAATGCCTTCTGTACCCGACGCCGAGTGTTTCCGGTGTCTGACAGCCCGGACACTTCCGTCGTTTATTCATCAAGTGTCTCACAGCCCTGACAGCTCCTGTGTCTCCCCTTTCACCAGGTGTCCGACACCCCGGACGCCGGGTTCGAGCCGGCTGAGAGCCAGCGCGTGCGCCTGTCCCCGTCCACCCGGGACTCCGCCAAGGCCAGCCACGGTGTACGCGTGGAGGGCGTGCAGCGAGCGGCCGTGTTCGCCGCCGGCCCCGGCTCGTCGGCCGGCGGCGCAGCGCCCTTCTTCAGCACCGACTTCCCCAACTTCGGCCTGCCGGACGGCGTGCGCAGCCTGCAACGTGCAGAAGGTGCACACCCGGCGCGTGGTCAGTCCCGTGGACCGATCACTTAAACTGGAGGCGTCCACTCAGGTGCACCTCAAGGGCAGCGAGGGCACCTACATCGACGGCAAGGAGATCGTCATGTCGGCCGATCAGGAGCTCCACCTGAAGAGCGTCAACGGCAGCGTGGTGCTGCGCGCCGGCGCCGGCGTGGCGCTGGACGTGCGCAGCATCCCATGGGCGCAGGGCCGCGCCGGCGCCGCCGACAGCCAGGGTGCCTACCAGCTGTGCGCGTGCGTCCACTTCCCGCAGGCGAGGCCCGGGGAGGGGGCGGCCAGCGGGCCGGCCGTGATCGGCCGCCTGTTCCGGGTACACGTGCCGGCCGAGAGCGGCCAGCTGCCGACCGGTGAGCGGGTCACCTGCGGCCAGGCGGCGCTGCACGGCGACAACAACCCGTGCGTGTGAGCGGGGCCCGCCGACCGGGCTCCACAGCGACCCACACAGGGCCTTCCGAGGGAGAAAGGCGGCCAACGACTCAGAACAGGTGACCGTACCCGGATTTTGTGTCAACCGTATCTAGTCACTAATCATTTATCCTGTGATAGCTTGAGCTTAGATCTGAAATTTCCTCGGTGTGTGTGTCTTGTGGTCTTTAATGGTGGACTTGCTCCCTGTGGTGTGCCAATAACAAGGCTTGTGTTACGAGGCATCTACCCAATAATATGCGGGATTAATGATCCCAAATGTGAAACAAGAAGTGATCATTTGAATTGATCGAGTCGAGATTAGTCTTTTTGAAACCTTCTCTCCGCCGTTATACTGGTTTTCGATTAATCTACATTCTACAACTGATGTTCCCTGAAATGTTCTACACGTTAAATGTTGAACCTTTTATAGTCAATGTGTCACTGTCGCAGCATTCGCAGCACAATTGAATTTGGGGCGAACCCCTAGTCCCCTACATACATACAAGATCCCAAATATCACACCACGTCTCAGTGTCACATTATCCTCGCTTCCCAGCTACTTTGTAAGACTAACTCGTATATTTCACCAGGATAAATGCATTCATAAATGCGCGGATAGGTCACCTCGCGCAAGGAGCTAATCTGCTATAGCCAAGCTGCTCCTCATAAGACTGTGTTTGAGCGCTAGTCATGTCCCATACTGAAATCCTAGTCATGTCTGAATCGAAGACCCGTTTATCGTGTATTTCAGTTAGCTTCGTTTCGTTCATCACATATTACTATGTGATGTGCCGTCTTATACTCGTTGCCTCTGACGAAACGACGGCCAGTAGCATTGCAGCTGCTGTATCAGGGCCGCTGAGTACCATCTAACGATACCAGTGTTAGCGCTGGCCGCTGCTAGTCTGCCGTATGCTGGTACTTGCATACCCGTCTTTGGTACTGCTGCATAAGACAGTGTCTAGTCTGTATGTTTGTGACGTGATGTATTCGATAAAGATGAACGGTTTTATGACAAGCGTTTCTGGTAGAATGGAAATAAAGGCGACCCGCTGCATTCGCGCGGTGTGTACAAATGCCGAGTCACGACAGTGATTACCGGCCCCGACGCAACAGACCTACACACGACAGGCTCCCTCACATGCGCACACGCAACCGCACTGAACGGGCCGCACAACCGAAATCGGGCACCACGGACACTGATTTGCTTATAAAAGCTCATAAATCCACGCCAGTGAACACGACAACGGAAAAGAATGTCACATTTTCGTAAAACATTTTAAACAGTTAAGCAGATAATCGGCGCAGATGGTCCTAAATTGAAACACCCACTTAGCCTTGCGTACCACGGTCGCAGGACATTAAAAAGAACACAATACATGCACACAAACTCGACCTGCCACGCGTCCGTCCGACCACGCGCGCCACACAGCGATAATACACGAGTACATGCCGCCGTCCCCCCAGCCGGTCCGGCCGGCGCTCAGTTGTCGGCCATGTCCATGTCGTCGTCGTCGGCCAGCTCGTCGCCCGGCTCGCCCTCCTTCCTCTCGGGCGGCTTCTCGTAGGCCTTCTCCAGCGGCGAGACCACGATACCCTCCCAGACGGTCATGTCGGTGGCGATACCTGCCGACGCGCCGGCGGCTTCATCAGAATCGAAACCATGCTTCAATAGCTGAACGGAAGAGCAAATTTTACCCCGATCCGCATCAAACACTCAAGTGGATAGCTCGGCTGTGCACAAGAACCGATAAGAAATGTCCTTGCAGGACTTAACCTGACATCTTAAGCAGCAATATACTAGCTTCCGAAAATGCCAACTGACACAGACGAAGGATCGGCTCTCAGCTGTCGGTTTATACTCACTGGCGTTGCCCTCGAGTCCGATGACCTGCTTGTAGCCGCCGTGGGAGAGCGCGCGCAGCAGCGTCTGCGCCGTCAGACACACCTGATCCTGCTGCTCCAGCGTCATGGCCGTGTGCACGCGGATGTTGCCGCCCTCGCACGGGTCGGCGATACCTACAGACAGCAGGGGGATGGGCCGGGCACTCAGCGCAGGGACGCATACCAACAGCCCGCAGCCCACTTAGCCCTACGGGTGACGCAGATGTTATATTCATTTTCCAGTTCAATCTTTGTTTCTATTGATAATCAAAGAACCGTTTCCTATATTCTATCGGCCCCCGCGGCCCTACCTGCCGATCCGGGAAGGAAGAGGCCGGCTGCCAGCAGCTGCAGACAGCGCCGGTACGCCTGGTGCACCGACATGGCCTGACGACTCGGGTTGTTCATCACAGCGTAGTGCGCCTGCACACAGACACACACGCAATTACAAGCAAGTCGGCAATGGCATGCGAAGCGGAAGTCGCAGAGTCTTACTAAGACTACTTGGCTAAAACACAGCCACCAAGTCTGCTGGCTGTGTGTGATTCTGAGAACGTATACCAGTCATGTAGTTTCCCATACCTGCTACATTGCATGATTAAATCGAGACATCCAGGCATTTAAACGGCACGTGCACTGTACCACACTTTTCAAAGTTTAATGCAATGCTTTAATATTACCAGCCGTGTGGTTCAAGGGGTGTGGTTAAACACGTTGAACCACACGGCTGCTGACGTCACTATCATATAGTTGTGAGCTTTTTGGCAGGTATGGGAAACACCTTCCAGCCCTAAGGCCGGGAATTCAATAAATGTCACCTCGCTTTTTTTAGCAAAATCACCTCGGGCCTAACGGCCCTCGGAGTTTTCGCTAAAAAACCTCGGTGACATTTATTGAATCATCCCGGCCCCGGGCAGGAATATATTAACCCTCGCCGGCCGAGGGGGGGGGCGGGTGCCGCCCCCCCCATAGGGTTTTTTCGCGATAGCTCCGAACACGCTGGCGATAGAGAGCTGAAACTTGGCATACCTAACCTTTGATCCAAGCCGGATCTTTTGACACCAACCGCATTTTTGGGTCAGGTCAGGTCACTGACCTATGACGTCATAAGTGAACCGCTGCACGGTCTTCAGATGTCGCAACTTCGCAACGCCCTCACTGCCAGAGGAGATGTCACAGGGAAATGAAACTTGCAGGATCTAGTATCCATTATGAGTCCCACAACTTGTATATCTCGGATTTTTCCTAAAGGTCATATGAGGTCAGGTCATTTTCGTGACCTCACCATTATAAGTCAATGGGGAAAAATTCAAACTGCTATTCTGGCGCCGGGAACGATCTCTAACTATCTCAAGCACACAGAATCATGATTTGATGCACTCCTTGCAAGGTTAGATGCGTCACTTTTGCAATGTTGACCTTGCGTGACGTCATTTATGACGTCATCAAGGTCAAATTAGTTTTTCGTCAATAACTCTTGATCAAATTGAGCTAGCGAGTCGGGAAAAGCACCAATGGACTCAGGAAGGCCTGCCGAATCGAATGATATGCGACATGACCTCTTTCGACCAACTTCGTGACCTGGGGGTGCTGACCTGACCTTGACCTGAGGTCAACACCCCAAGTTGACCTGACCCGGACAAAAAGTATATCATTCGACGCGCCTGAGCGAGGCGAACACGATGCTGCCAAAATCGGCGCTCTGCGGCCGTTTTTTGCGAAGTTATTCACCAAAAACTGAACCGTACCCTGGGGCACTTGACCTGACCTCAGAGGTCACCGGTTGACCTAGGACCTTAAAATCGGGTACCAATCTCTGCGTCTCGTAACGGCGCACACGCTCGTATTTTCTGCGACGCGCTAGCTCCACCAGGGGCGAAACGGCGAGGGGGGGTCGTACCCGCCCCCCCCCCCCCCCTCGGCCGGCGCGTATGTAGAAAACCAATAGGTCCGGCGAGGGTTAAGCTGTACTTACGAGGAGATCAAGCATCCAGGGCGAGAGCGGCTCGAAGCCCTCGAATCGGTTCTTGAGGTCGCGCAGCAGCCGGATCAGCACCTTGATGGAAGAGTGGTGGGCGTTCTCCTCGAACCAGCGACTGGAATACCAGCGAGTTTGTCAAATTTCATTTCAAAATGATCAATGTCGTTCAATACCTAATTGAAAGTACTATTGAAATATGATTCACTGCAGTCATGAAGCGCGCTGAAAAGTGAAAACAGCATAAATACATACATAAAACATTCCTGGCAACATAATTCAAGCCCGCGCTTCTGCGTACAGGGCTATGGAAATTCGTACGCAGGCGATGGATGAGCGGCTCAGGCTGGCGGCACACGGACGGCACGCTCCAGCCGGTAGAGAGCTGGAGGATGTCCTACTGTCCCGCATACAATACAATACAATACAATACAATTTTATTAGGTCCCTCCATTACATGGGTTTTGTGGTGACAACGTCGTATACATGCGAAAACACATCTGGATAAAACACTGCAGTAAAACCGGATAGAAGTGAAACCACAGAGTAAAATACACATCTAAGACATCTTCCGGTACACTAACCAGTCGACCACACCTACTGTTGACGCGCTCCTGAGGACTCGTTCCAGTGCTGGCTGGCGCGAAACAAAAATCCACGACGGCCGAACTCGGTTCGGACCCGGGGCAGACGCAGCTGTCCCCGCTCGGTCGCACGCGTGGTGCGAGCTGACTCGTCGGAGCTGAGCACCAACTTGCTCCGCAGGATTTGTGGTGCACTGTCCGAAGTAAGTAGGCGACTAACCACAGCTGCTACGTCACTGTCACGAATCAAGTCGTCCACACACTTCCAACCCAGCTCGTTAAGCACAGGAGTCACGTGATCTCTTCGGCTGAGGCCAGACACGACACGTGCGCCGAAATTCAGCACCTTTTGGATGCGTTTCCTCTGAGCGATGCAGCAGGCACCCCATACGCTAATACAGTATTGTATGTGCGGAAACACTAACGCTTCGATAAGCAGGCGCTTAGTCTCCGTCGGCAGCCTGTTCCGCATTCTCGCTAGGCTAACAAGTATCATGTTGCAGCGCTGGACGACAGACGTGACATGTGAATCCCACGTCAGGTGAGAGTCGATGGTGATGCCCAGAACCTTGACGCTCGGTGAAGGTGAAACTACGTCACCGCCAAAGTGGATCGAGAAACTGGTGTTAGTTTTTGACGACTGGATTTCAAAATGGTCATTTCAGTTTTGGATGGGTTAATTTTCAGCCGGTTCTGAGTGAACCACTGCACGAGTACAGATAGGTCACTTTCGATGCGGTTTTTGATAGCCAAGACGTTACTGGGAGTGTCAGCGTCAAGGATCTGGACATCATCAGCGTACATCACTAGTTTGACATTTGACAGATGTTGGGCCAGGTCGTTGGTGAAAAGCAAATACAGGCTCGGTCCCAAAATGGACCCCTGTATCACGCCGTGCGTCACGCTCAGCGGACACGACCCGATAGCCTGACTGCGCCCACTCAACCAGTCAGAAAACCAGTCAGTTCGAATCCCGTACCAGCCCAGCTTGTCCAGGAGGCGGCCATGCTCGACGCTGTCGAACGCCTTGGACGTATCGGCTGTCACGAGTGACGTCACGAGGCCTTTGTCGATATTGTCAGTGACATACGTGACAACGTCAAGCATAGCCGCCCCCGTGGACATGCCGGGCCTGAAGCCATACTGCTGCGGGCAGAGCAGAGCGTTGCGGTCTAGGTACGACGTCAACTGGGAACATACCACTGGGAGCATCGCGACATACTGGGAGCATCGCGACATACGGTGGTGGCACACAGCTGCCAGTGTAGCTGAGCCCCGCTGGTAAATCCCCCACCTGTGCCGTATCGCCGCCAGTTGACGGCAGAGAGTAACTACTCGTTAGAGCCGAGGCTGGTGAGGCCGAGAACACCCACCTGTGCCGTATCGCCGCCAGGTGGCTCTGCAGGATCTTCTGGTCGAGGTGCAGCTCGGGGTCCAGCTTCCGCAGGTTCTGGTGCACCGTCGTCACCAGCACCCGCACCGTTGCCTCGCTGTTGCTGATCTCGAAGCCACGATCATTTGGCAGCATCGCCATTACCAGCACTGGGGGAGATCACCATATTATTCAACCCGAACGTCAAAAAATCGAGATGTCGGTAATGGTATCGCAAGCACTGGAGGCGATGATCCAATTATACATATAGTCAGCCTCGTGCTACCACTGATCGGGTCGAGATGTCTGTATAGTGTATAATGTATATGGTTATTCAACAAGGTTCACGAAACGGCACTGCAACGGCTGATACTCAGGGATGGCGAAACAATAAGTCAACTTTGACATCGAACATGACGACATTCTTGCATTTTTTTTTTTTTGCAATCCAGAGCATATCTGCCTATGGAGGGTTTCGTATCGACCCGTGTCGGCTCTCACCCCTCCGCCGCCCGTCCCGCCACCCACCCTGACCCACCGTCCGCGGGCTCCTGCTGGCGCAACTCCTCCGTGACCTGGTTGCCCAGCGCCTCCACGGCCTCGCGCGTCGGCAGCGTCTTCAGGATCACCACCACGTCGGCCACGTTGTGGTTGGTGCGCATGGTGCCCTTCTTGTAGGAGCCCACCTGGCGGTGCTCCTCAATTTGCTGCCCCACAGACGAGCATGTCAAAATCCGCACACTATATCAGTCCTCATCAAAAGCTGAATACCAACAACAGAAGAACACATGACAAGGCCAGCGCTGGAGCTATCTCGAGCGCGCGCACACTGAAACCAATCAGTCCGGCCCGTCCGAGTGTCCCGGGAACGAGGCGCCACTCACACAGGCGTCGAAGGATCCGGGCGTGACGATCAGCGTGTCGAGCACGGTGGCGATCTTGGTGACCAGGTTGAGCACGGCCGTCTGCTCGGTGGGGCTCGGAGACAGGTCCGTGTTCCGCTTCAGCAGCGCCTGGCAACCACAATCGGGAACCAGAACGTGAAAAGCATGTTCACACAACACCTGTGTAACACTAACAAACATACTTAATTTTGCACGTTTTATACTTGGCAAGTTAAATGGCGATAAAATGTCAGTCACGCATCACAAAACAAATGTGCTCGGTCGTTTATCGTGTCATTATGCGGCTTCAATTACACAAGATACAACTTGGGCAATGTAACGCTATTAGGGTGTTGATACATCAGTTCATTCTCCTTAGTACGGTCATTGGGAACCTCGCCGTGAATTCCGCGGACGGCCATGCATCCTGACTACTCGTCACATATCTCATATGTTCGAGTTAGTGCCAGCTGGCCGATCGGACCATGCAGCGCGCCGACCCCACAGCTGCTGGGGAGAGATGAGTCAGTCGCGCGCCTGCAAACCTCCGACCGTGGTCAACACAAACAGCCACCTCCGTCAAGGAGGTAACACGGTGACGTGTCACAAAGAGGCCCGATCTGCGGTCCGGACCGGATCCAGTCGTGCTGTAAGTAAACAAACCGCCGCAGACCCCGCACAGCTCTGCAAGACTGTCCCACTTCCCCGCCACTGTGCCGCGCAGCCCAGGGGACCTTCGCGGCAGATGTCTGGCATATCTAGTTACACCACCGCGACAGCGTCCGGCTTGTAGGTCGAAACAGAAAACACGCCGATCATCCCTCCTGCATCCAGCCGAGCTGGACGCAGGGCGAGCTGAGCTGCAGAGTGATACGCACCCCATCTGGCGCGGCCACCGTCTACCGTCGCACGTGCTGCTGTCCGGACGGGGCGCGCAGTCTGGCCATGTTTGTGTTACGGCCGGACACCGGCTGCTAACGTAAACAAGAGCGGCGCGCCGGCTGCGGCTGCGGCGGCGGCGGCGGCGCGCACGGCGGCCGGCGGCCAGTGACGGCGCGGCGCGCGCTGACGGCCGCCGCCGCCGCAGCCGCTGTGGACACTGGACGCCCGCACCGGCTGAACCCCGCCGAGCACAGCGACTCCGGTGAGTGCACGGCCAGAGGGCCGCCGGGACGGGGCGGGCCGGTCACCCACCTGCTGCAGCGGCGTCTCGTCCGGCGCCGGCTTGGCCCGCTGGAACGCCGGCTCACACAGGTAGATGTCGAACGGCAGCCGCGGCACGAACGTCTTCATCTTGTAGCCGCCGCGGCCCATGCGCGGGCCGCCGCGCCCCCGGACACCGCCGCGCATCTGGAGCGGAGCGGAGCGGCGCACGGTCAGGTGGCGTGGCGCGGGCCGCCGACAGAGTGTCAGCAGCGGGGTGGTGGGCCAGCGCGGCCGCCCGTGCCGACAGCGGGACACTGGTAAACAGGACGGGCTCGGCCGCCGGCACGACGGACGGACCGCACCCCGCCAGTCACACAGTCCACTCAGTTTGGGAGGGGGGAGGGGCGGTCCACCAAACTATCATATCCTGGTGACGATGCGTCCAAATTGGTAGACATGAAACATACCTAGCGATGTGATGCTGTTTGCATATCAATTCAATATAGCATTACAAAGTTATGCTATATCATTGCTTAAACAGGAATGTCATTACTGAGCAAAATTGATCCTAATTCAAAGTGAGACTAACAGCAATACCATTGCTACAAGTAAACATCAGCTCATTTTTAGGGCATCAAAGAATTTATCAAAGCTTTCCTTCTATTCAACAATATAACATTTCACAAACTTTTGAGCAATTTCCTGTAGGTGGTGCACAAAGCGTATCATTATTTTGTTACAATCGTTTTGCATATCTCAGCACTCATCATAGTTTTATCATAGAGTTCTATCATAATCATTACAAAACACATGAAGCCAATATCACTCATTTGAATGCATAAGACTCATCTGAATGCAGAAAGACAATAAACTAGCTAACTAGTTACTACCCACAACTAGCAAGCAGTAGCTTACCATGGATTGCTCCTAAGAAGTGTCAATAGACATTTGAGGCACATTATGCCTGGAGAGAGGTAGCAGTAGGCAACAGAGAACTATCTTTTCACTCATCTGGGCATGTCAGATGTGATTCTTTGTTACACTGTATTTTAAGAAACCAAATCATTTATTGAAAAGATGCATTCCTTTCTGATGAATATGAGTTGGCTGTTACACCTCAACCAATTCAGTTAAGTCATACATTTTTCTATCATTTATACAGTCAGGCTGAAAGATCAATAGTTGATAGTCAAAGATGTTTCATTTTGCTTAGGTATTAATTACAAAACGATACACTGACAAGGGCGCACACAAGGGGGGGGGGCACACGGGCCCGTGCCCCCCCCCCCCATTCGAGTTGGGGGGCCCAACTCGAAGGAAGGGGCCCATTTGAGGCGGCCGAAGGCCGCCTCAAATGGGCCTCTAACTAATCCTTAGACCACCGAAGACCGTGTACAAAGGGCCCTCAAACGGCCTTAAAGGGCCCTCAGATGGTCTCAAAAGGCCCTCAGATGGCCTCGAAGGGCCCTCACTTAGCGTCATAGGACCCTCATCTGGTGTCAAAGGGCCCTTAGATGGTGTCAAAGGGCCCTCAGATGGCCTTAAGGAGCCCTCAGGTGACCTCAAAGGACTCTCAGATGGCCTTAAAGGGCCCTCAGATAGCCTCAAAGGGCCCTCAGCTAACGTCAAACGGACGTCAGAAGGCCTTAAAGGGTGTCAAAGGTCCCTGAGCTGGCGTCAGAGGGCCATGCCCTTGCGTCGAACGGCTCTCCGAAGGCTCTAAAGAGTCCTTTGCTGGTGACAGAGGGCCCCCAGCTGGTGCCAGATGGCCCCCAGCTGGCGCCAAATGGCCATCAGAAGGTCTCAAACGGTCCTCAGCTGGCGTCAAGCGGCCCTCAAAAAGCCTCAAGGGGCCCTTAGAAAACCTCAAGGGGCCCTTAGAAGACCTCAAGGGCCCTCAGAAGGTCTTAAAGAGCGTCAAAGGGCCTTGAGCTAGCGTCAGAGGGCCCCCCAGCTAATGCCAGAGGGCCCTGAGCTAGCGTCAAACTTAAAGTGCCCCTAGCTAGTGTCAGAGGGCCCCAGTTGGTGTCAGAGGGTCATCCATTGGCGTCTAATGGCCATCAGAAGGCCCAAAAACACGATCCTCAGCTGGCGTCCAACGGTCCTCAGCTGACGTCAAGAGGCCCTCAAAAGGCCTCAAAGGCCCCTCGACTGCTCAAAGTGCCCTTAGAAGGCCTCAATGGGAACTCAAGAGACGTTAAACGGCCCTCAAAAGGCTTGAAAGGGCCCCCTGCTGATGGCAAAGGGCTCGCACCTGAGTCAATAAGAGCCTTGTCAAAAAACGGACCTGAGAAACCTTGCCGGCCCTTCTGCGGGACTCCTACACTTACCTGAGTGGCCCCCGTTTACTGAGGGGCCCTGGTTATTGATGGGGTTCCTCGTTACTTAACGCCTGGTTACCAGAGGGGCCCATGGTTACCTGGTGGGCCCCTGGTCAATTGAAAACCCCTGGCCATCTGAAACGCCCCTGATTACCTAAAGGGCCCCTAATCACTTGGATTCAGTGACATAGCAAGGGAGCGAGGGGGTACGTGCCCGTTCTCGGGTTTAGGGTTTCTTCAAAACCGAGGGGCCCTGCGGCGCCAGTTGGTAGCAGAGGGTTCGCGCTGGCCGCACTTCAACTCGGAAGGACACCACAGGGCTTGTGGGGGCACGTTATTGGCTCCTATGTAGCCACAATTATCTTCATAAAGGCCCAATGCCGGTTTCTGAGAGACCTCGCCGGCCGCTCAGGGCCCTAGTAACGGCCAACGAGGGATTGGCTGCTATGGCTCCACATCCGTCTGTGATAGACACACGGTCCACACCAGTGTTTCTAAAGGCACCCACAACAGCAACTGCGAGGCCCCTCGCCCCACCTCCAAGGAACCCCCACCAGCGCATCTTAAGGGCCTACATCGGCGGCTCTGAGAGTCCCCACACCGACGCCTCTGAGGGCCACGTACCAGTGACTCTGAGGGCCTCTTACCAGCCTCCGAGTGTCCTTGCCAGCCTATGACGGGTCACTTTCCACTTGCAGGCCATTTTGCAGGGCCACACACATGCCAATGATGGCCCCACCAGTGTCTCTAAGCCCTTGAGACCCCGCAACGGCGCCTGTGAGGACCCAACACCAGCGCATCTGACGGCCTTTCACTGGCACCTCTGAGCGCGCCACACACCGGTGACTCTGAGGAGCTCGCTCGCTTATAAAATACCATGTAAATTAGGCATTAGTGTACATTAGGCACACTCCTCGGGCATAAATGATACTTTTGCTTGCCGATTTTCCACATTTTCTCATGCAAAGACCGTTTTAAAGAGACCCGTCTGCCAGTGAGACTGGACCCACCGTGCCTTCCTCCTCCCATCGAAAGGTCCTGGATACATCCTTGCCTGAGCTGACCCCGGGCCACCGGGTGACTCGCGGGCCCGGGGTCTGCGAAAAAAAAAAACATGCTAAAAAAACATGCTAGCGTAAAAATATATATGTTTTGAAAATTAAGCTGGTACCGAAATAATTGTTTTACCTACCATGCATTGACAAACCAATTGCTCAAGCTTCAAACCAACCGAAATATAGCCCCGTGGACCGTATTTTTTTTGGGGGGGGGCCCTTCGGCATGGGGGGGCCCAGTTCGAAGGTCGTGCCCCCCCCATTCAAAAATCCTGTGTGCGCGCCTGTACACTGAAAACCCGTGGAAAAGCCAAAGGCAAAGAACCAATCCATCAATCTAAATAGTGAAAACGCTCAGTCCTCAAATGCAACATATAGCAATTTTGACATCTTGATTGCGGGACACTCAGTCAATTGATGGCAAGGTGAGAAATTATCATGGCGTGCCATGAATTTCATGTAGTGGTGTCAGTGGGCCTTAACCCTTGCCCGCACATGCTATTTTCCCATCCTAGAACCCACATGGGGGGAGGTGGTTGCCAAGCTGAATTTACTTTTGCATTCCTTGCTGAGGAATGCAGCCATGTCATTGTCAGCCAATCTGCGTGCTGCTTACAGCCAGTATGTACTACGGAACATGATTGGTTAACATGTAGGTAAGCTTCAGAATCAAACATTATTTTAGTTAGAATATAGTTCTTCCTATGTCAAAATAAAAGTTTCAGAATATTACAGCTGGTGAATCATAAGGTGTTCAGATATGAGATGATGAATGAAGTAAAGTGAACGACGAAGGGGCTAGTTGGTTGGTTTGGGTTAAGCACCATATCCGGTGGACCAAGTGCTAACCGGAACTCTCACGCTATTCCAAGCGGTCGGGCAGCGGAAATGCCACATAAACGACGGAGGAGGCTATCACAATCACTGACTTAATTCGAGCTCAAACACTGTAAACGCTTACCATCTGTTGGGCGTGAATAAAACTCGACGAAATGGCTCAAAAGTCAAAACCCCGAAGCAGTATTTGGCACCTTGGCAGCGAAAACGTGTTACGCTCCTCTGCAAAGAATTACAATTCTATTAGGAGTCTCCCCACCAATAAATTTATCGATTGTAGCAGTACAAGCATGCCGGCACATGCGTGCGCGTTTTCAACGTGTCGAATTATTTGCGCCATACATGTAACATGCGTCGGAAAAGGCATACAACTCGAGCTACCAACTTCACCGATTGCTACCATATTGCAGTTATCCCTTTACAAGTTATCCTTTCGAGCATTCAGCATAGGGCATGGGCATTGTAACTTTGAATTACTGGCAAGTGGCAACAAATACAATCGGCTATGCTTGTATTAACCTCGGTATGATCTATTCAGAATTCATATCGTAGCCCTTATTGATCGCTTGTCGAAATCCTTCTTCTCCCACTCCGCCATCATTTGAGTGAACTTGATGAAGCTGTCGTTTTTCGAAAGCCGAAAGGCATCCCTTGAGCATCTGACTGTCGAAGTGCTGACAACTGCATCCCCATACGTGTGGTTTCAGACGTTCCGCTCCTCACACCGCAGCTATGGGCTGGCTCGCTGGAGCCGCTGTCACCGGCGTCATTGTCCTGGCTCTGGCGTCGGCCAACGAGGTCACCTTCTCCACCGCAGCCTTCGAACAGCGCATCATCCAGGAGGTCGGAGGTAAGCCGACCGTGTATTTAACCCGCGCACCGACGGGGGGGGGGGGCGGATATCCAACCCCTGAGGTTTTTCGCAAATCGCGAAATTTGGTACGACTATTCGTATTCTCTCATCAATTTTACACATGGTGTGCAAGTTTGAACCTCCTAACTTTTAAGGTCAGGTTACCAGGTCACTTTGAATGACCCAACCTCAAGTCACTTTTTTGCAACTTTGTCACCGTGCCAGAGCTACAGTAGATGTCTGAGGCCTTTGAAAGTTGCAGAATGTTATTAGATCATTAGTAGCTACAATTTGTATATCTCAGAATTTTGATATCGGTGACCTAAGGTCAGGTCAATTTCTCGACCTCCCCATTATAAGTCAACGGGGGAAAAATCAACTCCCTGTTTTTACCACTAAAACGGGTCGGAATGGCCCCATATACCATACATGACTTCATATACGATCAACCTTCACTACCTTGAGGTCTGTTTTGCTGTTGGGCAGCTGTAAGGTCATGTGACGTCATCAAAGGTCAACAAAGGTTTTTTGCTAATAACTCCGTACAGGAACAAGATACAGCCGCGCGGATGATCTCATTGTGTTCAGCTCGTCAAAACGCATCAAATGATATGCATGATGACCTCGAGGTCCCGTGACCTGAGGTCAACCTTTGACCTTGACCTTTCGAGGTCAACATATATATCATTCGATGCGGATTGACAAGAGGATCACGATGATGCTCTTAGTTTTTTCCTATCTTGACTAATTCGAAAGTTATTCGAGAAAAACTCTCCATATCCAGTGCCGCCATTTTGACTTTTTTGACCCCTGTGACGTCATCTTTGACCTGACCTGAAAATGACCTGTGTAAAAATTGTAGACCTTGTCCGTGCGTATCCGATGCCGTTTACCACTTGTCGCTATCTTGCTTCGTTCTCGAGATCTCAGGGGGGCGGTCATCCGCCCCCCCCGTCGGTTCTAAGTTGGCGCAGACCCCCGTCGGTGCGCGGGTTAAGTACGCGTACTGCAGTCTCATCCCCCCCCCTCTCTCTCTCTCTCTCTCCTCTCACTCATTAATTTTTTTAGTGCGCCTCTTCCACCAAGAACGCGCGGTCCCAGCTCCGTGTTTCT